TTTGTTAATATACAGATTTGTAACAATTAAATGTTTATACACATTGGCCCAATGTTGGTCCAATATATCGGGCTAACATTGGGCAAAGGAGCAAAATGACACTGGGCTAACGTCATTTGCCAACATCGGCCCAATGTTCTTGTTGACGTTTCGCCAACAATGTCGCATTCATTGGGCCAATGTTGGTGCAACTGTTACGGTTCCGTAATTATTCCCGTTACTATAAGTAACATTTTCTGTGGAAATACATAGTACAAGTTAAACAAAAACTCCCTGCAATATATACTGGTCCATAAAACGACAAATTAATGTTTAATTAATTGTATGTTTAATTCCATTAACAATTGTATATTTACCAAGTGTAAAATTGGGACGAGGTCGGTAATTAGTGACGCTCGAAATTCCTCGATATAATGCACTCCCAAGTCACACTTAAAATGTTCATGATTGTTTTGTTTATGCTTACGAAGTCCATCAGCGATAAGTATTATGAATGTTTCCCTCGGTAATTATCCGCGCCCTAGGGTGCGTGTTTCCTTTCGACAGATTGATCGGCATGGCATCATAACATGGCTTCTTTGCTCTAACAAAGATGGCGGGTATTTTGGGTACAAGTCAAAACGGCACCTGGTGAAAACGGCACTTAGGAAATATGCAAAACGGCACTTGAGAGTAGTCAAAACGGCACTTTAGAAAAGTCAGAACGGCACTTTTTTTATTTTGAGAATTTGATATTGTTTATACAGAAAATGGATCTTTATGTTACATTTATAGTAATAAATGTGTATATTATTATTGATGAAAATGTTTTTAAAATATTTTAGGAAAAAAATTAAACTGATTCATTTGAAAATTATTATACTTTTGTACCATAATTCATTTTGGGTACAAGTCAAAACGGCACCTGGTGAAAACGGCACTTAGGAAATATGCAAAACGGCACTTGAGAGTAGTCAAAACGGCACTTTAGAAAAGTCAGAACGGCACTTTTTTTATTTTGAGAATTTGATATTGTTTATACAGAAAATGGATCTTTATGTTACATTTATAGTAATAAATGTGTATATTATTATTGATGAAAATGTTTTTAAAATATTTTAGGAAAAAAATTAAACTGATTCATTTGAAAATTATTATACTTTTGTACAGGGGTTAGATTTTTAAAATGTATTTATATTTTAAATCATATATATTTATTTACTACAAAAGAGATCAAATCCCAATTATATTATTATGATCCTTTGAAATTAAAAAAATTATAGTGTTGCAAATATGTATACTACTCTGTTTTGGGGGTTGCCAGTCACAGTTGACTAATTAGAAGCCAGTTAGAGTATGTTTACTAAGAATACACTTGTAGGTTTAGGAAGCAAAAGACCATTTCACACCTCCCCTTCAATAATCTGTTGATCGTCAATTTGCAATCATATACAGCTACTATTGTGTATTTCTCGACAAAATGTCAAATGGATTGTACACAAGTTAGAAAAACTTAGATAATCCTCTCGCAACTGTACATAAAATATGAGTAGCCATACAACATTTAATAATATAATAAACATGTACATACAAGAACAAAACATTTGTTTTTTTATAATGAAGATATACAATGTTGATATTGTTAAAATAATTTCTACAGAATTAGATAGAAATGTGAGATAAAGTGACTCTTACTGTAAATATTCTTTTTTTAAATCATTTACACCATTTCTTTTTTCATATTATCAACGCTACACTACAAATATAATTATTCTAAATCCCACATATTGTTGTGTTATTGCTTAAAAATACTACCTTTAAAAATAGATTGAAAATAAAGCAAAATTGAAGCCACAAAAAATTCTAATTTCAATAAATTAAATTTTGACTTAAAAAGAACTTATGTGAAATATATATCATAACACTATTATATACTTTTTTCTCTAAGTGCCGTTTTAACCAAGTGCCGTTTTCACTAAGTGCCGTTTTAACCAAGTGCCGTTTTGCATATTCCAGGTGCCGTTTTCACCAGGTGCCATTTTCACTAGGTGCCGTTCTAACCATAATTCGGTATTTTCACTCTGCCGTGACGTCATCACAATCGAGCCCGACGTCAATATAAACCAGAGCAAATAGTCTGTTTGCCAGTACGACTGCCAGAATCATATCGCCAGCATGGCTGGGAGTGATAGTCGTTGGGTAATTGTCATTATATAATTTATTAATTAATTTTTGGGGAGCTGACGAATCTTGTAACATATTTTATTATTACTTTTTACTATTTATATTGAATTAGCCTGTGGGAGAAAATTAGTGGGAGGTAAAATAACTCTCCCATAACTATACCTGACTATAATATAATTGTATAGCAAAGAACTCCCAATATTTTGGGAAAAGATAAATACTTTTATGCTTTTGTAAATTTATATATACAATTCCTTAAAACAGAATTCTCCCATGTAAGAATATTTTATTCCCATTCTGGGAGAGAAACAATATTTCTACGGGAGTAAGAAATAGGGACAATTATTCAAAGAGATCGTGCAAATTAAATACAACAAGCATTAATAAATTTTTAGGAACTTTAATCCTGACTCATAGTTCTTTTGTCCAGTATACAGAATTGGGAGACCCACAAGTTGTCTCAAGGGAGAAAACCCCTGAACGGCAACACAACTTTGGGCCAATATCTGTAGAAATAACACTCTACATTGGGCCAACGTTGGCCCAACATATCGGGCCAACATTGGGCCGATTAGCAAACTTAAATTCGGTCAATGCCATTTGCCAACATTGGCCCGATGTAACCGATTACATTGGCCCAACGTTGGCCCAATGTTAGCATGCTATCTGTACAGTGTTGACCCAACAGCACCTGGCCTCTGCACTTCCCCGTGTCTGATTTACACAGATTTGTACATGTTATCGTTAAAACTAAACGTTAATTCAGCTGTGCCGAGGCAAACATATTATTAATACTAACAAAGTGGATGCAGACATGCAAGGTATCAGTCTCATTACGCTCGCTCGTGTCAGATTAAAAATGGCGCGGATATTACAAGTAGCCCGGTTGTTGTCTACCCATGATCCTCAGTCAGATTCATGGTATACTGGGCCAACGTAGGGCTGATGCCAATCCCCAAACAAATATTTTCTCTCATGATTATAGTTTTATGATATAATGCCAACAGTTAGCCCAACATTAGCGCACTATTACACATAACCAGCTATCAATATTCCATGTTGGGCCATTGTTGGCCCAATCAAGGTAACCCAACATAGATAATAGAACCATAATGTAAGATTGGGCCAACGGTGTTCTGCTATCTGGGTTATTACAAATACATAAGCATATGCACAATAATTATTCAAAAAATAGAATAAAACACTCTTTGGTGCTTGATCACTTAAGTGCAAAGTTGAAATGTTGAAAATATCATATCTAAACAAAAGCAGTCATCCAATGATAAGCATGGACATAGAAAGTCCTTTTAATTATTTTAGAATGTGCCAACCTTGTCCCAACGTAAAGCTCAGCAGCTAATTATAAAATTAACACCATCAATTAGTTCGAAGTATAATAATTGGGCCAACGTTGGCCCAATATAAATATCCCATCTTTGAAAGACTTAAACAAAATAACACTTGTGTGTATTACAAACATTGTGCCAACGTTGGGCCAACATACTACTACCAACTTGATAAGGCACTTTCTTTAAGGGTGTATTACAAACAATGGCCCAACGTTGGGCCAACATACTACTACCAACTTGATAGGACACGTTCTTTAAGGGTGTATTACAAACAATGGGCCAACGTTGGGCCTACATACTACTACCAACTTGATAAGGCACTTTATTTAAGGATGTATTACAAATATTGTGCCAACGTTGGGCCAACATACTACTACCAACTTGATAGGACACGTTCTTTAAGGGTGTATTACAAACAATGGGCCAACGTTGGGCCTACATACTACTACCAACTTGATAAGGCACTTTATTTAAGGATGTATTACAAACATTGTGCCAACGTTGGGCAACATACTACTACCAACTTGATAGGACACGTTCTTTAAGGGTGTATTACAAACAATGGGCCAACGTTGGGCCAACATAATACTACCAACTTGATAAGGCACTTTCTTTAAGGATGTATTACAAACATTGTGCCAACGTTGGGCCAACATACTACTACAAACTTGATAAGGCACTTTCTTTAAGAGTTTATTACAAACAATGGGCCAACGTTGGCCAACATACTACTACCAACTTGTAAATACACTTTCTTTAAGGGTGTATTATAAACATTGGTCCAACGTTGGGCCAACGCCATGATCCTTCCTTCTTTGGAAACTAAAGTGAATGGAAGTTGCTTCCGTTGGACCAACGTTGGGCCAACATAGGAATTCCGTCATGGTCGAGAAGGTTGACTTGGTAACATTGGTCCAACGTTGGCCCAACGTTGTTCCCCCAACGCCAACCATACAACCTTTAACAAATGTTGGCCCAACATAGTCATGCTATCTGGGAAATAAACGAAAATTTTGATGATCTCAATTTCAGGCCTAGAAGGGCTATTAACAACAATTATAAGGAATGTTTTGTTGTGGAAACAGTGAAAGAATATGTTAGGAACACACGGTTAGTAATATTTTGAGATGACAGTTTTAAAAACATGGAGAAATAAATTGAGAAACAGCGCACTTTTTTGTGCGCAATAAATATACAGTTTTTTTTTCAATGGAGCACTGTAGCTCTCAGGTCTGTAAATATATATTTTTAGGAGAGCTACAGTTCTTTAGCTACCTTCGGCCAAGCTGCTCTGTTAGCATGAAATCGCTTATAAATAAAAGTAGATGTTTTGAAATGAAAGTAAAATAATTTAGTTTCAATTTCATATTTCCCTTTGTAACTAGAATATCTATAACGTCATAATTATTTGGCGTCATAGTACTATGACGTTTGAAGGCGTCATTAGTATTATGACATCATAATAGCTTAGTTGGTATAGAGCGCGAATTTGTTGTCAAGATACCAAAATGGGTTTGTTCCAAAGTTGCTTGAGAAAAAATAATAAAATTGGCATTCTATCTGACGAGGAGGAAGCCGCCTACAAAAAGATCGAAGAGGTCAACGAAGAAATGGCGCAAGAGAAGATTGACATTCAAACTCTCCCAGAGATGATGTTTTGTGTCACTCCGATGGAAGCCCATGGGGACGCCACTCATCCTCCAGATGTCACTAAAAAGACTGTAATGATGAATATCAATTACAAATCAAGTGTGCCTAAATTGCCTCCTATTCCTGGACAAGTTAAGACGATCCTAATTCAGGATCTAGACGACGAACACGATTACCTTAAATGGGAAGGTACGTTATATACTAAATACGACAAAATCAGTCTTCACTGGCTAATTTAACTTAAAAAAAGCATTTTTGTTTAAAAAAAAATCCTCTTTTTTTGCAGAAGAAACTAAGAGAGTTCTTATGGAGCAAGGTCCTCTGAAGATTGGCAAGGATAAGTTGTCAGAACAAAGAAGAAGACAGCTTCTCCGAAGAAATTCAAACTGAAAGAAACTAACAAATATTGTGAACAGAAGAGACAGATAATACCCGCTGCTGTCATCTATAATAGGATGATTTTGAAGTTTGAACACTTATTTAAAAAAAAAACAAACATTTTTTTGGCTTCAGTTGTGACTGATTTGTTGAAGGAGAGACATCAACATGTTTATAGACAAATTCTTTGCAATTTAAACTTTACATGGCATTTTGTGGTTTTTTCTTGCTCCCTTATTTTTTTTTTTTTTATTTTTTGTTGTTGTTGTTGATGAAAATTTTCAGGATATGAACAATGGAGACAGTTCTGTTGCTCACTGCTAACTAATATTTAAAATACATATTCATTCTTTGGCTTTAACAAAAATTTGCTTTCAGAGTATCTTTTCATCATATCTAGGATTAGATTCCTGCCCAAAAATTAATCACAAGGAGCAAAAATATTGCATGCATTTAGATTTGCCTTATGATTTGTTGTACTTTCTTTTGCACGTTCTGAAATATAATAAATATTTTTTTCATCTTATACTTGAGTAATTTTTATCTCCGATTGGGTGACATCTAACATTTTAGACAGTTTTAAGCAGAGGGAGAAGAGGAGCATGCGGGGATGTAAGGGTTGGAAGGGGGGAAGGGCAGTTCTCTAAAGCGGGCGGACGGGCCATGGGGAACAATAGTATGAAACATAGGAGATACCGAACAGTATTCAAAATAAAAATATCCGGAAAACAATACAGAATTGGAGTAGAGCAAACACGGACCTCCGAAACATCAGAGGTGGGATCAGGTGTCATGGAGGAGTGAACATCGATCCCCTGCCGACCGGTCTCACCCGTCGTGTGCTCCTTGTCATGATCGGGAAATAACGGGAATATCCGTTGTCAATATTTCATTGGAAAAGGTTCTTGAGATATCGCATGGAAATGAAAGATTAAGAGAGAATGTCACGAATCATCAAACTTCAGATGGAAACTTAAAATTTTAACCTCCTGTTTTCTTATATTGGTTGTAAAAAGTGTTCATTGTACACAACTTTCACATATATGAAAATGATGTTTGACTAACAAAACTATTATTTATCTACCTTCTTATGTGTTGCCATGGAAACCACCGTAAGTGAAGGAAAAAAAGCTTAAATTTTAACTTTTTTGGAAGAATATTTTTACAGAAAGAATACTGATATCACCAACAACAAACTTTATGCAAACTATTAAAGATATATAGTGTGCAAAAAAGTTTCAAAGCAAATCTAAATACACATGCATCTGTTGCCATGGCAACACAAATACTATATAGCTTAACAATGTGAAAATTTAAATATTTACCTGTCAAGTTAAAACTAATATATATAAAATCTACAACAGGTTCAGCATTTAAATGAATTTTATTCTTGCAAAATACATGTTGATCTTCAAGACTGACATATAAAATTGAGAAGCATTTTTACTACTTTTGTGGGAAAACTGTTCAATTTCATGTTTGAATTCTTTAAAGAATGCTTAAAATTCACTTCCAATATTTTAGGAAAACTTTCAATTTCTTCCAAATTGATACAATTGCATGTATAAAAGCTAGCATACTCTTGCATCATTAATAAATATAGTGAAATTTTGGGATAAAAATCCTGTAATGTGCCCATAGCAACCAAATTTACTGCATAGCAACCAAGACATTTTCGAAACATAATGACAAAAAAATAAAGGAGAACATGTATTATAAGTATAAATAAGTTGAAAAATCTTTTTTTCTTAAAAAAAAATATATATATATACTGTAATTTATGCATTGATCATATTCTGTGCATAGCAACCAAATGAGGTCCATAGCAACAGAGCTGAATAGACATTTTATTATTCATGAATTATCAATAAAAACTATTGATGATACTCCAAAGGAATAGTTATGGGAATGTAAACGGATAATCTAATAGTGTGCATCCTTAGATGCAATATTTATGTAATTTTGGTCTGGGATTTTGATCTACCATAGTTATAAATAAAATCAAGAAGCAAATTTAAGGACATTGTTCCACTAACTTTATGGAAAGGAGTATAAATGGTGAAAGGTGGTGTAACAAATTAGTGAAATCTCTCTCTAATATTTTGCTAAAATTTAATTATTAGGAGAGTGGTTATCTTTAAAATTGACAGGTATCCAATAAAAAGAATTTGAAAACAAAAACAATACAGCATATACAAATTGAAAATGGTCTAGCAACCTTAATCAGATCATAGCAACAGTATAGTGTTAAGACAGAAATTGATCTATTTTTTCATTTAATAAACTTATATTCATTTAAAAATTGTTTATACAAATTTTTAATAAATAATTTGATTACATTTTACACCAATTTAATATTTTTAAAAAAATTAATATTTTTCCTTAGCAACATATATCTGACCATAGCAACACTGAGTATTAATGAGGTAATTTCTACATTTTAATTGTTTTGTTCATATCAAAACTTAATTAAGTGTGCATAAAAAGAATAAAGCAAAAATCTAAATTAGATCAATGTACGTACACACCAAAATCTACAAGAATTAAAAACATACCATAGCAACAATTTCCTAATGTAGTAACATAACATTAAAAGTCAGGAATTTATGATTATTAAATTTAAACAAAATAGTGTTTAAAAAGTTTGGAAATTTTCTTGCTGCTGTATATCTGTATTTGGTAAGAGTTGGAATTCGAATAAAGGCAATCAACTGATTTTAAGTATAGGCATGAGCAAATAATGACAAAATTTGTCTCTGTGTTCCCCAGTCAGTAGATAGGTTATAGGCTTTTGAAAGAAATTGCAGAATGTTGGTGTCAGCAGAATCTGAAGCAGTTTTCAATAAAGCATCCAGCAGAAGAGAGCCTTGACCTGGTGCAAGGACATTCACAACCTCTTGAAAAATTGATTTAGCTGATGATATATAATCACATTTTGTACGGTCAGATGCTTCATTCCAATCTGTTCCGAGTTGCTTCTTTACTGGACTTAGGCCACAACTTTGCAGGAAAGTGTCTAGAGCTTTCCTCTTGTTATTCATGTTTTCAAGGTGATCACCTCCCTCCTCTTCTTCATATGTATCTTGACTGCTTGGTAACCAGAGGCTGCCTTGTGAATTAATGGACACTTGCGTACTTGTCTACAAAGAAAATTTCTTTGTAAGACACCAACTTAACCAAAATTGAAAATTTTATACCCTCCTATCAATAGGACATGGTCCTCAAATTGGCACAAAGTTTGCTTGGATCGATACTCTACTTAAGGAATGACTAATTCTTGGCCAAATTATTCGATATTACATGGTTTGGGTCAGTTTACACTTGGAGATTATAAAAAAAGTGTAAACTGACCCAAACCAGGTTATACCCGAATAATTTGGCCAAGAATTAGATTCATTTCTTATAATTTAATTTTAGAATAAAGAAATGTGGATGTAAAATTGTGCTGCTTTTTATGAGTTCAAATTTGCCGCTCAATAATACAACCATAGTATTGAAAGTGATGGGAAACAAGGGGAGGTAATAACTGATACACAGAACTAGCAGCAATGATGTTTATTTACATGAGGTAAGATCGAGCTACTGTTTGAAGTTAAAGGTACATTTATTAAATCTGGAATTTCCCATGAATACCGAGGACTGAAAATGAGGGGATTGCATGGATACAGATGATTCAGCTGGTCGTCAAGGGGGTATGTCCCCATACCAAACCAGCTTACACAGATTAATTTGCGTTCCTTTTTGGAAATCAACCAATGAGAGGCAAGAATGCAAACAAAATTAAATTATTTATGTATAGTGATAAAATACTGTGGAATAACTTCAGTACTTTTGTAATAAGCTTGGACAGATATGTCATGTTATCTCACCTTGAATGATTATAAAATTCATTTTATTGTAAATGATGTGAAAAATTTGAATATACATGTATGTATATATAACATTTAAAAAAGGATATTTAAGTTGATAATTTTATAAGTAAAAATATCCTTGAAGAGACTTTTAACAAAAACAAATAAATCTTATATCTTAAATTGCTACTTACAATCTGATCAAAATCATCTGTATTTGTGCTTGGATTTACACCATCAGATGTTTGTGAATAACTGCTGGTAGGTATCCTATAAACTGTGAGTTCTTGATTTACAGATGAGCCTATATCTTCTTTAATTGTGTCTTGTACAACAGTGTTTTCTTTTCCTGATGTCTTGAAAAAAAAAGTTAGAATAAAAAATTAAATAAGTAAGAAATTTATGAAACTAGAAATACGTCCATAGGACATGAATGTTCCAATTGCTTACATCAGTATGTATCAGCATATGAAGTTTGACACTGATTTAGGAAAAGTGAGGTCAAGGTCAAAGGAAAGGTCGAGGTCAGAAATGTTGAAGCAGTTGAATAGCTCTCTTCAGTATGTATCAGCACATGAAGTTTAATAACACTATCTTGAATGGTATCTTTAAAACTGGGCAAAGCCCTTTTTGATAAAAGTGAGGTTAAGGTCAAAGGAAAGGTCAAGGTCAAAAAATGTTGATGCATCAATATTTATCAGCATATGAAGTTTGATGAAAATATCTTGGATAGTTTCTTTGAAACTGAGCTTTGAACTGAGCTAAACACAAAGTGTGACAGAAGGACAGAAGGACGGAAAGAGGGAAGTGAGGAAGGATGGAAGACGGACACAACAAACACTATATGGCCCGGCCATATTCATAGAGGGGCCTAAAAATATAACCCCCCTCAATATTTAAAATTAGAAAGTGTCAAATTAAAGCAATAGGTCACTTAAAAGTCTAGGGTAAACAATTTATTAAAATTGATCAATGTCAGACCTGTTCAATTTTCATCTTTAAACAAAAATTAGAGGTTCTGCTTGAAATCAAGTTTCAAGTTTTTATATAAGACAAAGACCCCAAATAATACAAAATTTTAGCATATAAACAAGAAATCCAAAACTACTTAAAACAATGCATAGGGTGTCAAAATCCAAGGCACTGGGGGACCAGCACTGGAGGAGAATATATACATGTAACATAGGGGGAAAATGGAATGGACTTCTGCATGTAAAAAACAACTAAAAAGAGATTTCCTAAAAAATATCAAAGAGAAACTACGAGTATTTGAAGTATCAAATAATCCATATGCAACAAGCTTAGTAACACAAAATTCTGAGGAAATTCGGTCATTTCTTGATATGCTACAATGGATGTGCACAGGATATTATGTTGTGTTATATCCCATACATTTTTACCTAACAGGAGTCCATGTATTTTATTTAAAACTCATATTATCATTACGATGATTAGCCTGAGTATGGCATTAACGTTAGACTTTACCAAGTTTTTGGTCGGCTGCAGACAAATTAAGTTCCCTAAATTTTTAATTACTGCTTTTATTATATGAATTTAGATCTTATATCTGTATAATTATTTAAGTTCTACTTACATGACTAGTCTGCTTCCAAGTCAGCTCAAGCTCTGATCCACTGTAGCCCCTTTGTTATAGAACACAGAGCTCTGCAGCCAAGTTTGCCGCCATATTGCATATTGTTTACACAAAAGATTCAGCTAAGGGAAGTAACTCGTTGAATTTTTCAAGAGCTTTAAGTGCGGGTAAACGTTCCGAAAATTGCTCATAAAAATTATCTGCAACATATGCTTCTCATTTTTTTGCAGAATCTTTGTAGAAAAGGAAGTGTTTGTTTAATTTTTAATACCAGATTGAGATAATCTTGTTGTAGATTAAAGAATTTATTTCTTATTTTGGCTTAATTATTTAAGACAAAACTAGAATAAAGAAGCATAAAAATATTTTTTTTTTACTTTCTAACCAGTGATGTTTAGTGGTAAAAATATTGGAATAAGTTTCTATACTTATGTGTTTTAACTTTGATTTAATAAGATGTGACACCTATGTATCTACAATTAGAAATGTAGTAAATATACTTTCACCGATATGGTTGCACACTTGGGGATGTTTGGTCTTGGTTTCCATGGTAACGGTTCACAAAAGCCACATATTTTATAGCAAAATGTTATCAGCGCATCCCAAATATTTCACTATCAATGCCATTTAAAAAAGCAAATTTTTCAAGTTTCCATGATATATATAGAAGAAGCTTGACGGTTCGTGACATTCTCTCTTAAGACGTATATAGAATGTATGAATTTATGACCTTTACCTTTGACCTTTCGAAATCAATAGGGGTCTTTCATAGGCCATAGGGAGTTGAGGTATAAAATTTCACTTCAAAAGCTCAAAGGCTTCTCGAGATGTAGCGCGAAAACGAAAATGTTAAAACAGATAGATTGATGTTTATAACCTGATCTTTGACTTCAAAACATCTTCGCTGGCCGACGGTTTCTGATTATGAGGAGAGTAGCGTATCAGTAACCTTGGCTAGCGAAGATGACTTCGATCAGAATCGACAGGCTTCTTCCTCATTTCAAAAGCTTCTCGAGATATTGCGCAGAAACAGAAGTGCTAATGACAGACAGAAAAATATACAGGCTGACGGATATACAGACTGACGAAGGGACCAAAATTAATATCCCCCAGGTTTTCATATTTCACAGGTTTATTTCTTATGATTAAGTCCCTTGGTACCATTACTCAAAAATTTTGGCCAAGGTTAAAGTTTGGAATATTTTTTTTTTTTACAAATCTAAGTCAAATTTCACAGTCAAGGTCAAAAGGTCAATATCTTGTTATTACCACAAGGAAGTGAAATATGAAAACCATAGCTTTATCTTATCAAAAGTAATTGACAAAGTTAAAGTTTTTGCGGACAGATAGACAGCTAGACAGGCGGGTAGGAAGACAGACAGGACAAAAACCATATACTAATACATGTACATGTACCCCCGAATCTTGGATTCCGGGTACCTAAAATGTCCAAAGTAAATCTATCTATGTGCAATTTATGTTTCTTTCCTCTTATTTATCATCTCTTGATTTGATAGTGCTTTTATCTTTTACTAGTATATTTATTAAGAAAAAAAATATTGTTTTTATCAACTCTTTTTAAAATTATTTTCTCCCACTCTCAATCATCAATAGGTTCACTCTTGTATTCCACCACATCTCAAGCTGAAATCTACACCCTTCAAAACTGTTCTTTCCAAACCCTAATCAGTTATATTAAAATCTTACAGCGCTTAGATATTAAACATGAAATACATGTATGTAGGTAATGAACAGCATCCAATCTCAAAAGTCTATTCAAACAACAAACTAGGAGCAGGGCAAGTACGGATCTCCTAAACAACAAAGGTGGGATCAGCTGCCCGGGAAGAGTAAGCATCTCTTATTGACCGGTGTTATACGCTGTGCCGTGTGCACATTTTCATGATCGTGCAAACAGAAATGTTAGTATACAATGCAGTGTGTAAAAATGATCTAATAATTGGTATGAAAGCTCAGTTTCAATGTACTAGTAATAATATGAGTTTGTAAAAACTCATATACATGTAATGATGCAAATTGATGGAAGCTATTCAACAGGGGCTAGTTTTTTTTTTTACCTTGACCTTCTTTATGTCCTTGAATTTGGCAAGATTTTGGAGAAACGGTTCATAATAATTTCACATTTTGAAAGGGACTGTAAAAGCTTGATCTTGAACTTCACTTGACCTCGATCCCACTCTCTGTCAATTGGAAGAGCTTTATTTTTAACTGTGGTCTAATTTTTTGACCTTGACACTTGATTCACACTTGATTCAAAGATAGAAATATTTAACTATATTATGTTTTTTTACCTTGACTTTCCTTATGACCTTTACCGAATTACATGTATTATTATTTTATTTTTTATCCAAAAAGAAAAATTAATGTCCATACCTTTTTATGAGACTTCATACATCAACAAAGATTTTTGAGAAGTATTGACATCTTATGACTTTGACCTTCCCATGACCTTTAACATAACCTTGGAAGATTTTTTTCAGTCTTCAAATGAAAATGTATTTTCCATAAATATATTTCTTCAGAAAACTACACACATCAATAAATCTCTGTTAGCGCATTTGAACCCTGGGTAAGGCATTAAATTTCTACGGACATTTTTCTTTTCGTCCTTTTTTTTTAAATTTCTATTTACTTTGTTTGAACCTTTCTATGGTCAGGTGTGAAGCAAAAGCGGAAGGGAGGGGGTGTGTGTGGTCCCGACATAACTTTTTACCATAACAAGTCTTGTTGCCCTCGTAGAAAATGTTCATTGAAAATTTTGTCCCCCCTCCCCCCAACTCTTGTTGCAGTATAGTCAAGTCAAATAAGGAAAATATATAGTATGTTTGTGTAAAATAATGTGGTACTGAAAAAAGGGGTAATAAAATTCCTGTTTTTGTTTTTGTTTAGGCAATAAACAAACTGAAAAAAACATCGAACACCATGTGTTGCCAAATTTCATTGACATTACAAAATCATAATTCAACATAAAGGTGAGATGTGAAAACCAGCCATTCTTCTGGAAGGAAAGATCTAAGTGCTTCCATTCTAAAAGAGTTGTCCTTTTGTCTAGATATTTGTTGAATTTTTGAACTCGATCAATTTTGAAATAGTTCTAAACGAAAGCTTAAAGAATTTCCATGCAAAGTTTTGTAATTAAGTTTCATAATAAAAAAATACGGATGTTAATTATCATCAGATCATATTTGTTAGCATATATTACATGTACTCACAGGCACTTCGGATATGGACACCCCCTCCCCCTTTCCATTTCATCTATTATTGTAACCCTTTTGTTTCTCTTTTACCTGTCGAAAACGATATATTTAAAACAGCTTACAGAGATAAAAGGGTAACATTATCGATATCATTCAAAATGCATATTAGAATACAAAAATAGGAAAAAGTGACTCGATCCCAGATTTAAAAAGAAACAGAGAATCTGTGTCCACGGCTTAAGGAAAAAAGAAGGGGGTTGGGGGTCGAAGGGGCATTTTAAGAATGGCGGGCGGGCCATAGGGAGTTATTGCATACAATTTTCTTAAAAAACTCAAAAGCTTCTTGAGATATCGCCCGGAAATGAAAGATTCAACACACACACATTCACACACACAAAATGAACTAATGACCTTGACCTATAAGCTTTTTACCTCAAAATCAATAATGGCCTTCCATAGGCCATAGGGAGTTGTGGTAAAAAAAATCACTTCAAACATTCAAAGGCGTCTCCAGAAATAGCTCGGAAACGAAAGTGATACAAATGACAGAATTTATTAATTTATGACTTGACCTTGACCTTTTGACCTCAAGACTCTGCCTTGGGCCAAGCTATTCTGTTATCATGAAATCACTTTTCAAAAGTAGATGTTTTGAAATTAAAGCAAAACAATTTAGTTTTCAATTTCATATTTTCCCTTTTATAAGCTATGTAACTGGAATATCTATAACGTCATAATTATTTGGCGTCATAGTACTATGACATTTGAAGGCGGCATTAGTATTATGACGTCATAATAGCTTAGTTGGTACAATTTGTTGTCAAGATACCAAAATGGGTTTGTTCCAAAGTTGCTTGAGAAAAAATAATAAAATTGGCATTCTATCTGACGAGGAGGAAGCCGCCTACAAAAAGATCGAAGAGGTCAACGAAGAAATGGCGCAAGAGAAGATTGACATTCAAACTCTCCCAGAGATGATGTTTTGTGTCACTCCGATGGAAGCCCATGGGGACGCCACTCATCCTCCAGATGTCACTAAAAAGACTGTAATGATGAATATCAATTACAAATCAAGTGTGCCTAAGTTGCCTCCTATTCCTGGACAAGTTAAGACAATCCTAATTCAGGATCTAGATGACGAACACGATTACCTTAAATGGGAAGGTACGTTATACTAAATACGATGAAATCAGTCTTCACTGGCTAATTTAATTCAAAAAAACATTTTTATTTTCAAAGAATCTTTTTTTTTTGCAGGAGAAACTAAAAGAGTTCTTATGGAGCAAAGTCCTCTGAAGAATGGCAAGGATAAGTTGTCAGAACAAAGAAGAAGACAGCTTCTCCGAAGAAATTCAAATTAAAAGAAACTAACAAATATTGTGAACAGAAGAGACAGATAATACCCGCTGCTGTCATCTAAAATAGGATAAATTTGAAGTTTTAACTCTTCTTTAATTTACATTTTATTTGGCTTCAGTTGTGACTGATTTGATGAAGGAGAGGCATCAACATGTATATGGACATGTTCTTCGCAGTTTTATTTTATATGGCATGTTGTGGTTTTTCTTGCTCCTCTATTTTTTGCGGTTTTTCTTGCTCATACATTATTTTATTGTTGAAAATTTTCAGGATGTAGATAATGGAGACAGTTCTGTTGCTCACTGTTAACTAATTAGATATATATTCATTCTTTGGCTTTGACAAAATTTGCTTTCAGAGAATCATTTCAGCAGATCCAGGATATATAGATTCACTGTCCAAAAATTACAAGGAGCAAAAATGTCTCATGTATATTTAGATTTGCCTTATGTTCTATTGTACTTTCTTTTGCACGTTCGGAAATGTAATAAATATTTTTTTATCATATGCTTTAGTATTTTTTTTTTTATATCCGATTATGTGAGATCTAACATTTTAGAAAGAAGCTAATTCAGAGGGAAAAGAGGAGCATTCAGGGGTGGAAGGGGAAGGGAGGTACATGTACTTTAAGGAGGTGGAAAGACCTCTAATTGTTCTCTGAACAATTACGGGTAGTTTACTAGTTTACAGGTGTATTTCTTATTAGAGATGTTTCTGAATATGAATCGAATCCGAATCTGAAAATGAATCCGAATCGGTGAGATCCCGATCCCGATTCGAAAAATGATAAAAAGAATACTTTCTAATTCCGCTTTTTAAATTGTCATTGTACATGTACCAATAAGGGACATACATAGTGGATGGTGTTTATATTTTTGTCACTGGGATTGTTATTGCTATAAATCGGATAAGTCAAATTCTATATACTGAATAACAGAACAGGTACCCTTTCAATTCATGGAAAAACCTGTTCGAAAATGTCTTTGTTGTATTTTTCATTAGCTTACTTTATTTATACCATCGTCTTCAACCTTCTTCAAATAATTTACTTTCTTCATGAATGAGTCTACTCTGCTATGGGTTTTTTTTTTCTTTTGCAAATATCAAAACAAAATTTTATTACTCGCAAGAAATGTGTTCTGAACCTTATTATGAGTAAATGCATTCATACGAGTCATCTTATATATTTAGACGTAATTGAAAATATTTTTTTCAACAACGATATCCTATGTTCATGCAATGCCTCGCAGTCCACATTTTTGTCGAAAGCAAATCGATTGACCATCGTCAAGAAATCGAAAAATCTGACAGTTTTTACTTAATATATTTACATGCTCTTGATTCCGCCAATCCACGTGCTACAAGCCCTGTTTCTTGTCTCTATCTGTCCCGCCGTGCACGTGATTTTTTTAACATGCAGCATCTTTTGATGAACCAGTACATTTATGTAAAAATAAAGTACATGTAAAAATAAAGTACATGTACATTAACTATTCGTAATTTTATCTCTGAAACTTAGACATTGGAAATGTAAATATTGTGAAGTTTACAATGCGAAACTTAATAGAAAGGGTGGGGAACTCTCCCCCATGTCCCCCATTTCTTATAGACCTTGTATCATATCATTAATTTCGACGTCTTCAAATAAGTAGCCGATCAGTAGGGACCATAAGAGCAAAGTGTCAAATAGCCCCCTTTTCTTTTGATTATGTTGTTCATTAAATTGTATGCTTTAAAGTAAACAAACATTACCCCCTCCTTCCTTGGGAATCACATACCTCTCGCTCGTTCGCTAGCGCGAATATGTCACCGCCCATATATATCAGAATATCTCGCGATGCCCAAATTTGGTCGAAGAGAATTAAAACCCCACAAACATGCCAATGGGAGAAAACTTGATGGACTCTTATTTTCACTTAATTTGTAACATCCATATAGTAATGCAAATAAAATCAGACTTATTTCTTGCAGGATATTTGTTATTTGTTCGGTGGGTGGGGGGGGGGGGGAGGGCTACACATACATAAATGTTTTATACAGGTTACAAGTATTTATTGATATATCAAAGACAAAACATCAGTAATCATACTCTCAGTGTATAATCTAGAGTTATATCTATTTTCAAATCGGGATCGGAATCCCTCCGATTCAGATTCGTTACATATTCATTTTCAGATTCGGATTCGATTCATATTCAGAAACATCTCTATTACAAGGTCGCTTGGGTACTATTATTCAAAATTTTAATGTGGTGACTGAAAATAATGTCATAGATTATAATCCTGTTGTTGATCGCTTATTATATTCCTTGTTTTGGGGAACGTAGGTCATCTTTCAGTTTTGTTTCATATTTCTATGGATATTCTACAGTGTACCTATATTATACTCAGATGACCGTTTAGACCCTTGGGTCTCTTGTTTGAATTTTAAGATAATAACTTATTAATTTAAAATAATCTTTTTTAATTTCCACATTTTTTTGCAATTTTAACTTCAGTATATCTTCCATCCATTAAAGGACGACCTCCAATGGGACCACTAAAGAGATGGCTGCATTTCATTTCCGGAAATTTTGGTAATTATCAACTTTTCATTTCCGACATTTTTTAGTTATCATTTCAGACATTTTTTTGTTTTAATTTCCGACATTTTTCAAATGCATACGTAGTACCTATAGTAACAGATTTGATAACTTTACCTATGAAAAATTTAAAGGAATAAATCATAAATAAATCATTGAAATCCAATTTTGTAAATCAGTGACTTGGGCATAAATATGGTGCTGCCACTGACATTTCATTTAGTGCACATTAAATGTGATGAAAAAGTTTTATGCTCATTGGACTCTTTTACCTAGACTTAGTGCTACAAGTATGCATATATGTATAAATTTTATTTTCATTTTTTATTAATATTTTGGTATAAATAATTTTAAAATTCCATTTTCTTTTACTTTGAAAACATTGAACTGCCGCACAGGTAAATTCCGGAAATGAAAAAAAAATATCGCAAATGAAAACAAAAAATGCCGGAAATGAAATTAAAAAAATGTCGGAAATGCTATCCATATTTCCGGAAATGAAATGCAGCGTAAGAGATTTCCGACATCAGTAGGATGAGTTCGGACTAACACTACGTCTCCCTGATTGACCTCTACCACCACCACTCCTGTTGTAGTTCTAGCCGATCCAAGATGTGTTTCTCCTCCACTGGATGTAAACGTGGTCCGAACAACATTAGAGTTGACAACAACCTGCGAAAATATATAACCATCCTGATTTCACCATAAAACAGTAAAGGTTCCACGTAACTGCGGAGCGGTGAATAATCCGGAATGTGGATTATAATTGTTGCCTATATGTTTGTCACTATACTGTCGAATTTAATGGTGTGGTCTTTTGAGATTTCCATCTCGTGTTTAGACATATAAGCGGAGAATGCTACTCTCTCTCTGCAAATGGAGGCTCTGTTGTGTGGACACCTAAAATTAATCCCAAGTAGTAATGTTTAACTTCTTAAGTATTTGTGATGACATATTCAAGGTAGATCAAATTTATTATTTCATACCCCACATTAGTTTGCTTTTTTTTCATAAAAAAGGGTAACATTTGTATTAATCATGAAGATAACCAACAGTAATGTACGCGATCTCTGAAAACTTTTTGACACTACAAATATATGAACAGGATATAAAGCATGGACCCCTGGAACTTCCAGAGTCTAGGAGGAGGAATCTAAATGGTATATGGATAAATAATCCTATTGTTCATGTGTTTGCTTAAATTACTATCAAAGTACAAGTAATACCTAGAAGATCTGGTTGTACATTTCCCTCACCTGTCAAAAGACGTCTCTCCTTAAATGAATCATTTGTCTTGTTCATGAATGGATTTGACTTGTAAGAGGACTTCAGAATGGTTGGTTGGTTCTTGGTCTCACTCATGTTTAAATTCTGTTGTGCATTTCAAAGGGATTTTCTTTCAATAAAACTGTTGGATTAGTAGACTCTTTGATACGTCTGCCAAACATTGTGTTTACATCTTTCTTCTCAGATATCTTTTGGTTATTTTCCATAGCTGTTATTCTCTCATTTAGTTGCCGATTTGTAGACAGTAACTTATAGACTGTAGCCTCAACATTGTCCATTTGTACATTAGAGTTATGTAGCTTTTCTTCTAGTTGTACGAGGGGTGATCAAAAAGTTCGCAAACTAATTGAATAACTTCCATACAAGAAACAATATTTGGTTTTAATGTTGATTATATTTTAAATTAATCCTCCCCGATTTTAATGCACATCAACCACCGTTCTGCACATGCGCGAATCACGTGATATTGGCGGTCACGTGACCCCCTCCGTAGCGTTCTGTCACAAAAGTTAAAAGATTTTTCCGAGTTTTATATTTCTTTCCATGTGAGTTAATTTTTATGACAAGAACAGTTAATTTGTCAGAAATGGTCATATCTCGGCAACAGAATGGGTGGATAATAACATCCTTTCCAAAAATAAGCATGGCGACCATGAAAACACAAATCTTCTGTCTCAGGAGAGACCTCTATTCAAGGTGGATAGAGAATGGGTGCATCCTTTTTATCATATCTAATATGTTTAAAATCTAAAGTAAATGATATCTTCGGTATTTAATACTTATATCATTTTTCAAATATTCAACTATTTTTCAAAGTACTAATTGGAGATCTTTGATAGCAAATTGCTTAATTAAAAATACATATCTTTTCAAACTTGCTTTCACTGGGCAAGATGACAAGTATTATTTTTAACCATCAGCCTTCCTTCACTAAAACGATTAATCCAATCATTAATTGAATTTATAGGAACTCATTTATCTCAATAAACTGTGTACAAATTATTATATGATACTGTAGAGGGATTTCTAAGATATTACAATAAATTGTACAGTCGTTTGTTGAACGAGTTCGACTGAGACAACCATTTTTCGTCACAAGTGACCTAAATAGTGACGTCATTTTCACATTGTGACGTCACAAACAAGGAGAGAAACTTTATTCTGCATGTGCTATTTATATACCTTGTGTATGGCTATGTGT